TTAGTTTTGCAGCAACAGCACTAGAAATCAATTAAACGTTAGTTTTAGTCTACTCAAGAATACCGATCCGAGAAAAAAGAATACCTATCCAAATATTTTGACTACTTAAACTGAAAACAAACTTACACCAAAATGAAATGATCAGAAAAGAAACTCAGTCTGTTTGCACAAGTGTACACCCCGCATAGTCCATTTGACATAGCCCAACTCTACAAGTGTTTGTAGGGCACCTGCCATGTGATACATTTGGGGATATAGACATGAATAATCCATAATCCCTATTCTTGAGAAGCCCAGGGGCCAGTGGGAGAGACAGATGTGTTAAATAGTTAAAGTAACAAGAGAAACATGTAATAACAGGTTCAAAATACAAAGGAAGGGCTGGGCTACAAGGGCTTATGCGTGGAATCCAGCACTTTGGGAGGCCAAGGCAGGAGGATTGCTTGAGCCCAGGAGTTCAAGACCAGCTTAGTTAGCCTAGTAAGACATTATCTCTACAAAATAATAATTTGTAAAAAAAATAACCAAGCCTGGTAGTGCACAGCTGTAGTCCCAGCTACTCAGGAGGCTGAGGTGGGAGGATCCCTTGAGCTGAGAGGATGGAGGCTGCAGTGGACTGTGATCATATCACTGCACTCCAGCCTGGGCAACAGCGTGAGACCCTGTCTCAAAAAAAAGAAAGAAGTAGGAATGTCTGCAAGCAGAGGAAAAATGAGTCGGGAAGCTACTGAGGTAAGCCTGCTGAGGTACTAAGGACACAGGACCTTCAAGGAGGTCAGTGCGCCAGGCAAGGGCAGGGCAGCAAGAGACAGTGCTGTTTCCCATATGGACTAAGCTTAATGCTATAGTGAGGAAAAGAGAAATCTGATTTCTTTTCTTTCTTTCTTTCTTTCTTTTTTTTTTTTTTTTTGAGGCGGAGTCTCAATCTGTTGTCCAGGCTGGAGTGCAGTGATATACAGTCTCAGCTCACTGCAACCTCCTTCTGAAATAACCTCCTGAGTTCAAGCAATTCTCCTGCCTTAGCCTCCCAAGTAGCTGGGATTACAGGCGTGCGCCACTACGGCCTGCTGATTTTGTATTTTTAGCAGAGACAGGGTTTCATCATTTGGTCAGGCTTGTCTCAAACTCCTGGCCTCAGGCAATCCACCCGCCGTGGCCTCCCAAAGTGTGGGGATTACAGGTGTGAGCCCTGCTTTTTGTTTTTTGAGACAGAGTCTTGCTCTGTCACCCCAGGCTAGAATGCAATAGCAACCTCCGTCTCCTGGGTTCAAGCCATTCTCCCACCTCAGCCTCCGGGTAGCTGGGATTACAGGCATCTGCCATTATGCCCGGCTAATTTTTGTAGAGAGGAGGTTTTACTATGTTGGCCAGGCTGGTCTCGAACTCCTGACCTCAGGTGATCTGTCTGCCTCGGGCAGTGCTGGGATTATAGGTGTGAGGCCAAGCAATCCAATTTCTAAAAAGCATCCTGCATTTTGAAGAAAGTGAAATGAAATCCAAAAGTGAAAGGAGGCTCCCCCTGCCCCCACGAAGTCTTTGGGCGCATGGGGCACGTGGCCTGTGTGGTACCACAAGGGTGCTGGATGAGCACACAGCAAACATCCAGAGTTTTGGCGTCAGCAGTGGAAGGAACCCTGGATAATACGTGCTCTGGGAACAGAGTCCTGAAGAAGGTGGTGACTCTTCCAGGGTGATCCAGCACGTGTTCCAGAGCAATCCTTTGTTGAGAGCTGTGGTGTGCTGGGCACCCTGTGAGGCTCCGAAGTTCTCTCAGCAGCATTATGGGGTAGATTCTGTGGTCCTCCACTTGATGTGTGGTCCTCCGCGGAGTCTTGGGGAGCCCAAGACACTCACCCATAATCACACAGGTAATCTGTGGGGGAGTCTCGGGGTCTCCCTCCAGGGCCTGTGCTCTCCTGACACCTTCCTTAACCTGAGGCCAGAATTCTGGCTCCCAGCTGTTCCCCGCATCACCAGCAAGCCACTGACACTAATAGACCAGCAGACAGTTGCACAAATGGCCTCAGTGGCACCTGTAAAGCATGTGTCCCTGTCCTCGAGGGAACTCTCTCCCAGACTGGAGCTGAATCAGCATCTTTCACTCCTAAAATAATCACAGTCCAGCTTCCAGTTCGTATAACCTGGCACCCATGTGCCTGCCTCTAGTGGCCAAATGCGTGAGGGGAATATTTGGATTTGCATGGCATCTGAACCATCGTTACATCAGGCTCTCCACTGCATCTCGAAGTCCAAATGAGATCTGAACACCAGCTGCCCAGAGCAAGCTTGGGTTGTCATGGTAACCAGGCCATCCTGCTCTTCTGTACTCCAGCAGTCCACGTAACACCACTCAGGTCTTAGCTACAAAGCTCAGCTCGCAGCGGGCCCCTCTCTCACCTCTAGCTGCATGTTTCAGAACGCTGGGTGGGGAGAGGAGAGCTTAAGTAAGGTACTTCCTTGATCTGCTCTTCCTCTGATTAACCTGTCAGCTAGTTCATATGCCCTGACTGCGCACCATTTGCATGGGAGGCCCCGTGCTGAGCGTGGGGATGGGGATGCCTTTAGCAAACGGAGATGGAATCGAAAGTCTAGGGAGCATCCCGTCTGTAATCCCGTAAACACTTGAGGCCCTGCTAGACTCAGGCATTGTGCTAAGCCTGGGGGGGCAATGAACATGACATAGACCAACCTTGCCCTCAAAAAACCTGTACGCTGGCTGGGGAGATAACAGGGTGAACAAATAACTGCAGTCCAGAGGGATAAATCGGATAGAGCTCACACACAAAGTCCTGGGGCAAGTACCTCTGCCTGGGGACATCAGGGCAGACTTCCCAGCAGTGGAAACTTTTGAACTGCTTCCTTTTTTTTTTTAGACAGAGTCTTGCTCTGTTGCCAGGCTGGAGTGCAGTGGCATGACCTCAGCTCACTGCAACCTCTGTGTCCCCGGTTCAAATGATTCTCCTGCCTCAGCCTCCTAAGTAGCTGGGACTACAGGCAGTCGGCCTCCCAAAGTGCTGGGATTACAGGTGTGAGCCACTGCGCCCGGCTTTTTTTTTTTTTTTTTGAGACAGAGTCTTGCTCTGTCGCCCAGGCTGGAGTGCAATGGCACAATCTTGGCACACTGTAACCCCTGCCTTCCAGGTTCAAGCAATTCTCCTGCCTCAGCCTCCTGAGTAGCTGAGATTATAGGCACCAGCACCAGCCACCACAACAGGCTAATTTTTGTATTTTTAGTAGAGACAGGGTTTCATCATGTTGGCCAGGCTGGTCTTGAACTCCTGACCTTGTGATGTGCCCACCTTGGCCTCCCAAAGTGCTGGGATTACAGGTGTGAGCCACCACACCTAACATGAACTGCTTCTTAAAAGATAAATAGAGGTTGCTGGGTGCGCTGGCTCATGCCTATAATCCAAGCCCTTTGGGAGGTTGAGTGGGCGGATCACTTGAGGTCTGGAGTTTGAGATCACCCTGGCCAACATGGTGAAACCCCGTTTCTACTAAAAATACAAAAATTAGCCAGGTGTGGTGGTGGGAGCCTGTAATCCCAGCTACTCGGGAGGCTGAGGCAGGAGAATCGCTTGAACCTGGAAAGTGAAGGTGGCAGTGAGCCAAGATCATGCCACCATTTATCAGGCAGAGATAATAGTGAAGGGCGGTTCGCGTGGAATGGGGAGAGGTGGGGATGTCCAGATCGGAGGAACCCTGACTGCTGCCGAGCAGGCTGGTTTTCATTCTGAGGGCTGCGGCGAGTTGATCGAGTGAGTTTCAGCTGCCCAACATGGAAAATGGAATGGAGAGGACAAAAGGCCAGAGTGCAGCCGGGCGGCTGGGACAGTGGTCCCAGTGAGCTGGCGTGAGCTGGGGTCTCTCCTTCCAAACAGTGGCATTCTTCCACCTCAGTAGCAAACTGTGGAGCCGATCCTTTGATCCTGAAGGGCTCGGGGGGCCAAACTCTTTCCTCCACCATCTGTGCTGTCCGGGGATCAGGCCTCTCAAGAGGGTTGTTTCCTGCCTTCCAGGTTCAGCTCTGTTGATTAGAAGTGGCCGCGGTGACCAGGATTGGCAGTGCCCACACCTAAGAGCTGCAGTGAGTTGGGAACCAGGTTATCCCACCAAGGCCAGACATAGGGACCAGGCTTCAGGCTGCACGGGCCTTGGAGCTGGCTTCCAGGAGGGGGCTGGAGCCCCACCCTTGCCTGGACTCAAGTGATCTGCCTGAGCTGGCCTCCCAAAGTTCCGGAATTACAGGAGTAAGGCACCTCACCCGGCCTAAAGTTGTGTATTTTTCTTCCTGACAATAAAAGGAAGTGCTGGCTCTCATATCTTGTATACCGTAAATAGCTTTGCTGTGACACCTTCTTTCTTTCTTTCTTTCTTTCTTTCTTTTTTAAAATTTTATTATTATTATTATTTACAGAGATGGGGTTTCACCACGTTGGCCAGGATGATCTCAATCTCCTGACCTCACGATCCGTCCGCCTCAGCCTCCCAAAGTGCTGGGATTACAGGCGTGAGCCACTGCACCTGGCCTCTTTTTATTTTATTTTTAAGACAGAGTTTTGCTCCTGTCACCCAGGCTGGAGTGCTATTGCGCCATCTCAGCTCACTGCAACCTCTGCCTCCTGGGTTCAAGTGATTCTTCTGCCTCAGCCTCCTGAGTAGTTGGGATTACAGGTGCCCACCACCACGCCCAGCTGATTTTTGTATTTTTAGTAGAGACAGGGTTTCACTATATTGGCCAGGCTGGTCTCGAACTCCTGACCTCAGGTGATCCGCCCACTTTGGCCTCCCAAAATTGCTGGGATTCCAGGTGTGAGCCACTGCGCCCAGCTAATGCCACCTTATTTCTTTGCCCCTCTCACTTTCTCACTAAATGTGGAGACTCTGGCAGAGTCACTCATACTGCTGGACACAGGCCCATGGAGCTGGATGGGGAACAGGAAGAGGGCAGCTGATCTCTTCTCAGTGCTGTGGTACTAGTTTTTTGTTGTGTTTTTTCAGGTGAGATGGGTAATGGGCTGACCTCACAAAGTTCGAGGCTGGCACACTTCACACTGCATGTGAACACCCCTCATCATGCTCACAAACTACAAAGGACTGAGATTGCTTTAAATTCTTTATTACTCCAGTTACCCAGGCCAAAAGCCCTGGAGTCATCCTTGAGTCCTGTCTCTTCCAGCCCACCTCCACGTCCTTAGCAAGTCCCTAGCTGTGCCCTCAGTTGGCATCCCAGGAATCCGACCACCATCGGGAACACCCTCATCTCTCGCTTCCATCTCCCTGCTCCCTGTGACCTGGCAACAGACTGCTCCCAACTCAGCAGCTGGAGCTAAAAGCCAGGCCTGATTATGTCCCCTTGTAACTTGAAATGTTTCCATATCGAAGTGTCACTCAGAGGTCCCTGAGTCATTCAGAAGCCAGCAGCAGACCCCACTTCCTTCAGAGGTGAAGCCAAAGTCTTTACAATGACTTCCATGATCCTCTCAGGTGGGCCCTGGTTTCACCTCTGATCTTGTCCCTTCTCAGTCCTCTCCAGCCTCCCTGGCTCCTTGCTCTTCCTCACCCAGGCCAGACACTCTCGAACCACAGGGCCTTTGCACTGACTGTGTCTGAGTCCTTCTCCCAGGACCCACAGCCCACGTCCATTCACATCTCTCACCTCCTCTGGCCTCTGCTCACATTGCTTCTTTGCAAGGAGGCCTATTTTGTTTTAATCTTTTTTTTTTTTTTTTGGTAGAGACATGGTTTCATTATGTTGCCTGGATTGGCCTCAAACTCCTGGGCTCAAGTCATCCTCTGGCTTCAGCCTCCCAAAGTGCTGGGATTATAGGTGTGAGCTACCATATGGGCCTGGAAGTCCTGTTTTAAATGAAAACCCCCTTCTTCACATTTGAGATCCCATTTTTTTTTTGAGACAGAGTCTTACTCTGTCGCCTAGGATGGAGTGCAGTGGCCCAGCTGGCTCACTACTACTGTCATCTCCCAGGTTCAAGCAATTCTCCTGCCTCAGCCTCTCGAGTAGTTAAGATTACAGGCACCTGCCATCATACCCAGCTAATTATTGTATTTTTGTGGAGACAGGGTTTCACTATCTTGGCCAGACTGGTCTTGAACTCCTGACCTCAGGTGATCCGCCCACCTTGGGCTCCCGATGCGCTGGGATTACAGGTGTGAGCCACTGTGCCTGGCCAATCCATATCCCTTTATTTTGCTGTTTTCTTTCTATAGCCCTTTGCCTTGTAATGTACAATTCAATGTACTTATTGATTATGTTTATCAATTATTATACTGATTGGTGCTTTTACAGTGTCTGAACCTCAGTAACTATTTGTTACCTTGCTGAATAGTGCGAGAGGAGGCTCTGTGAGAGCCTCTCTCTCCTCTGGGGCAAGCCTGGGCAAACAGTCCTCAGAACTGCTCCTCACAAGTTCTTGTTCTAGAGCAGGGCTATTTCTAGCCACATGCACACCATCTGTATGGAGCAGGAGTGGGGTCTGTTTGCAAGTACCAGCTCTACGGAGCAGCAGCGCTTGGGAAATGGATACACTCTGGATTCGGGGGGAGTCTCCCATCTGTGTGCTGTGGATAGACTGCTTCATCTCACTGCCCCTTCGACTGTGGATGAATAATAACTGCCCTGTGTTGTTGAGAGAAGTGAATAAAATTAAAAGTGATAATGCATGTTGAGCAATCAGTACAGCATTCAGAAGATAACCAGGATCAAACAGTGAGCTAAAAACGCTTTTGCAAAAGAGAGCTACTTAAAACTCAAAATATATTTTCCCAGAAAGTCAGTGGAAAATACCTATTCCTTGGAGATCATGAGAAAAGTTTGGTAACTGAACAGAGAATGTATCACAAGCTGAAGACTCATGACAACTCAGTGACTGTTTTTGAGGCCCTAGCCGGGGCCAGCCTGTTCCTGTGATGGGTGGGGCTGCTTTAAGCACAGCCTTGCTTTTTACCTTTGGCTCTGGACATGTGAATAGGATTGGAAGCCAGAGCGCCAAGGACAGAGCCGGTGCAGTTTAAACGCCATCCTTCCAGGTGGGCAAGCAGAAGCCTGGGTTGGGGGGAAGCAGCTCCCCCGGTTCACAGGACAGAGGGCTGGCAGCGTGAGGACTGTGCAGGGTAGCAGGTGAAGGTCTCCCAGAGCAACCACTCCCAGAGGAGTGTGGAGCTGGCGCAGGTGCCAGCAGCCAGTGCGGAGAGAGGAGCTCCACAGGGTAGGCTTGTCTTCCAAATCCTTGCTCTTTTTCTTGAGACAGACTCTCGATCTGTCACCCAGCTAGAGTGCAGTGGTGCAATCTCGGCTCACTGCAAACTCTGCCTTCTGGGTTCAATCGATTCTCCCTCCTCAGCCTCCTAAGTAGCTGGGATTACAGCTGCCGGCCACCATGCCTGGCTAATTTTTGTATTTTTAGTAGAGACGGATTTCACCATGTTGGCCAGGTTGGTCTCGAACTACTGACCTCAAATGATCTGCCCACCTCAGCCTCCCAAAGTGCTGGGAGCCCTGTGCTCCCAGCCCTGTGCTCTTTTTGATGCTTGTCTGACTGTGGCAACGCCTGTGTGCAATGTGGAATAAAAATGTCGCCTCTTTTGCAATAAAAATGTCCCAGTGTTCTCTATATAATGAAAACTGTGTCCTACCCTTAGCCTCCAAACAAGCCCCTGCCCGGCCTCTGTTCCTTCAGGTCGTGTTTCAGGTCAGTTTCTCCCTATTAGTTCCAGAAGGGAAGCAGAGCTTTTCCCTGCCTCTGCCTGGAAGAAAAGGCCCTGAGCCTTCACGAGGCTGGGGCGCCCCTGGTGGCCACCAATGACACACATTCCTAGGCCAACCCGGGAGCTCTGGCTGGATGAGGCTCCCAGAACTTGCTCCCAGAACTTCCAGACATCTGCCCCACGGTGGAGGGGGTGAGAGTAGCTGAGGGATTCAACAGATGCCATGAGGGAAAGCGCGCTCTTGGATTAGGATCCTCTATGTATTTGAGAAGCTTAAAGTTTAAAAATGCATTTGTTGGCTAGGCATAGTGACTCATGCCTGTAATCCCAGCACTTTGGGAGGCTGAGGTGGGCGCAGATCACTTGAAGTCATGAGTTCAAGACCAGCCTGGCTGACATGGTGAAACCCCATCTCTACTAAAAATACAAAATTTAGCCAGGCATGGTGGCATGCACCTGTAGTCGCTGCTACTAGGGAGCCTGGGGCAGGAGAATTGCTTGAACCTGGGAGGTGACAGTTGTAGTGAGCCGAGACCTTGCCACTGCACTCTAGCCTGGGCAACAGAATGAAAAAAAGAAAAAAAAAAAATTGTTTCCACATGACATAGTGGAGACATGAGCACAGGGAAGTGTGGCCCAGCCAAGCTACCCCAGAACAGGAAGGGCTGAGCAGCACTGAGGAGCCCATGGTGAGCGTGATGTGGGTGTGATCGTGTTCAGTGACCGAGCAGAGAAAGGCCCAGAGGTGTGTGTCATGATGGCGGACTGACCAGACGATTCAAGTAGGGCTGACTCCCTGGCCTCGCCCCTCAGAGATGAAATCTTGAGTCGATCTCACAATTTAAATATGATAAAGCTAACAGACCAGGCCGTGGTGTCACAATGAGATGACAGTGGATGATTAAGGCGAGCCGAGTGACCCTAAGAAGACGCCAGTCCAGGGAAAAACAGGGTTGGAAGACGTACAGTCTAGGTTGAAGATGTGTGCTGAGATCACCTTCCCTACCTAACAAGGGGGTGAATATTCCAGGTTCCCCAGCTCAGGTCACCTTGAGAGAGGAAACCTGCTCCCGTGTCCTGATTCTGGTTCAACTGATGTTATTTTCTTATACATTTTTAATTTTTTTGAGACACGATGGCATTTCCCCAGGCTGGAGGGCAGTCAGTGCTCACTGCGGCCTGGGCCGCCTAGGGTTAAGCCCAGCTGGGCTTGAGTGATCCTCCTGCTTCAGCCTCCTGAGTCCTGAGTAGCTGGGACTACAGGCATGTACCACCATGCCTGGCTAATTTTTAATGTTTTTTTTTTTTTTTTTTTAAGAGATGAGGTTTTGTTTTGTTGCCCAGGCTAGTCTCAAACTCCTGGCCTTCCGTGATTCTCCCACCTTCACCTCCCCAAAGTGCTGGGATTACAGGCGTCAATGAACATGCCTGGCTCAACTCATGTTAGCTCTAGCTCAGAATCTGTACCTGGCCTACTCTGAGAAAAGAATTTTTCTTTTCTTTTCTTTTCTTTTTTTTTTTGAGGTGGCGTCTTGCTCTGTCGCTCAGGCTGGAGAGCAATGGTGCAACCTCCGCCTCCCAGGTTCAAGCAATTCTCCTGCCTCAGCCCCCCAAGTTGTTGGGATTACAGATGCCCGTCACCACGCCCAGCTAATTTTTGTATTTTTAGTAGAGACGGGGTTTCACCATCTTGGCCAGGTTGGTCTTGATCTCCTGACCTTGTGATCCACGCACCTCAGCCTCCCAAAGTGCTGGGATATAGGTGTGAGCCACTGTGCCTGGCCAGTTATAATAATTTGTAAATATAGCTTAAATCACTTATGAAAATTGATAGAAATTTGCAATAATTTAAAAATATTTAAGACCACATAGGCCGGGCGCGGTGGCTCAAGCCTGTAATCCCAGCACTTTGGGAGGCCGAGGCGGGTGGATCACGAGGTCGAGAGATCGAGACCATCCTGGTCAACATGGTGAAACCCTGTCTCTACTAAAAATACAAAAAATTAGCTGGGCATGGCGGCACGTGCCTGTAATCCCAGCTACTCAGGAGGCTGAGGCAGGAGAATTGCCTGAACCCAGGAGGCGGAGGTTGCGGTAAGCCGAGATCGCGCCATTGCACTCCAGCCTGGGTAACAAGAGCGAAACTCCGTCTCAAAAAAAAAAAAAGACCACACACACACACACACACGTTTTTGAGATTAGGGTCTCACTATGTTGCCCAGGCTGGTCTCAAACTCCTGGCCTTAAGTGATGCTCCTGCCTCAGCTGCCAGAGCTGCTGGGACTAAGGTATGAGCCACTGCACACTCAGCATAACAGACTGATTTTTAAGGTTTTATATATAGATGGTCCTAACTTAGGATGACTCGACCACA